TATATGATCATGTTTTCCCTCCTCACAGGTGTCACAGTAACAGCTTGCAGTTGTCCTTTGATCGCTTCATACACTGAAGTTTTGCTTTCACTCCACTGCTTCCAGTGATTGAGCTTCTGCTCTAGCAGAAACGAAAGAGCGGAAATTAGTCCCTCTGTGCATGGCTTTGCCCTTTGGACTGGCTGGCATCCACCTCTTCCTACAGATGATTAGGTTTGTCTGTCATTAGTGCTGGGAAATCTGGGAGGTGACGGCCTTGTTTTGGCACCGGGGTCACAAATAATGCTCTAGGTCTGCCTCGTCACCCAAGACACATCTGGGTTTCATCTCCTTGTGTTTACCGGAGATGTGAAGTGCAAAGTACACTAGGTGATCATCTCTAAACAAACATTCCCTAAGGACTTGCTTATAGAAGGAAACCTAACCACATAATTGTCCTATTTAACACCCCAGATGGTTGCTCTTGAACTGGAAGAGGTGTTGGGGAGTTAACACCACCATTCCGTCATCGTATATGTCCCCTGCAAAGGTAGGCTTTGAGTTGTCAGAAGCCTTGACATCCCTCAAAGGGGTTCTCTTTGTCTTGTCCTCCTCTGGAAGGGGTCTTCTGGCTTCTTCCCTTTTCTTCCTTATGGGGAGGCATTGGCTGAGCACTTTCTGCAACGCTGCCACCTTTCCATGCCGAGCATCGAACGCAATGTTGCTTGGCAGATGTCTTCTGAGCATAAAACGGCCTTGCAACAATAATACTGGCTCTAATCCTGCTTTGTCAGAGGCAATAAACTTCAGATCTGGACACGAGTCGTGGAACTTAATGACCCACACCTCATTCATTTTCATGGCTTTCTTAACATATGTTGTCCTTTGTGTACATACAAGCTGTGCCGTTCCCTGGCTGCTACACAATTTATGGCCTCTTGCCAGAAGAGTTATGTGCTTGCTTCTCCTTTGTAAAAGATTTAAACTAGGAAGGCTGATCAATCTCGTGTTCAACCTGTCCACTTCTTAAGCACCCAACTTGACTCTTCTATCGCTGTCCCTAGGTGCACCCCAAAGCCCAAGAGGCTGGTTGAAGTAACGCATCTTTCTTCTGACTTTAAAGGGTTGTCTTCAAGAGCGTGTACAAAGAATTAAGCAAGGAAAATCCCTTTTATAACCTAACAGTGGGGTTGGGTGTTTTGTGTGGTTTTTTGTTTTTTTTTTTTTTTTTTTTTCCTTAGGCCCCCCCCTTATGTAAAGCATGCTTAAATCCATCACCGCTTTAGAAACGGCTGTAGTTTTTAGCTTTTGGTTGCAATTTGGAGAGTATGGGCACAGGCAAAGTGGTGGGTTCCATTGAATGCAAGCTGTTGGAGGAACTCCTCTTGATTCTATCTCCCCTCTCTACCTTTTGATTTAAATATGGCCTTTTTTTGCTTGTGGTGATGTTTCCTTTCATATATAAGTTAACCTGTCCATCTTATTCTGGAGCTGAATTTCCTTCTTGCTCCAATATTTGTGAAATAATGTAATTTCTGCAATGCTCCAGGAGCAGCTGCAGACTAGGCTTAGTCGTTTCTCACAGTGGCATAATTTTGATATTGGTCCGTGCCGGTGAAGGCTGCTGCTCTGGGACCGACAGCAGATCCTCTCAAGGTGAGATGTTCTGCAATCCCATGGGTTACAGCAGGTACCCAACTCGATAAAGGGTGAGGAGGAAAGCAAAGTGCAGGGAGATCACATGAAGTCCCTAAGGGCAGCAAGTCTTGAGATCCTGACTCGACATCCTCCCAAGGCTTCAATATTACATCAGGTGCTCCAATACCTGATTTTCCAGCAGCTTTTTGCTGCTAGTTTAGGAGCCTAGATGGGAATTGATACTATCTCATTAAATCTGATTGAGAAAATGCCCAGTGCTCAGGCAGGGGGGAGGACACACCTCACAGCTCTACAGATGGCTTAGTGTCTCTTGGAGGGAGAAGTCTAGGCAGACCCAAAGGCCGTGCTGTCCTGGATGATGTTGAGCCGTGCTCGGTCTCCAGCTGCATCGGGGCTTGCGAGCGTTCCTGGAAGGCATCTCCTTTGTGCCCTTGTGGAAGGATAAAGTGATTAACGATTATCAGCGCCGCTCTGTTTGCGTGCTTGAGAGGGGTCTTGTTCATCAGCTTCGACACTGTGGTGACTCCAGTTTTGCCTCTTGGTGTTGTCTCAAGCTGGGTGTGGGAGAAGTGGGGAGCTGCCAAATCAATTAGCTAAGCCCATTAATTGCATTTGCAGTGAAGAGGTTTTTAACACTGTCTTTGACTATCTTGTAGAGCCATCTTAGTGTCTTCTCATGCCACTTTGCATTTAATTTTTATTAGTTTCTTCTTGCCTTGCCTCCAGACAAGGAGGCATTCATAGACCTTCTCTGTGGTTTTGGATAATCCTTCTTGTGCCTCTTCCACCATCTCATTTGCAGTTCCTCTGGCCTCTTGCCTGTGTATTCAGGTAGTCTTTTGCTCTTCTTCCCCCTGAAAAAAATTTTAGTCCTCTGACGGCTTTCAAGCAAACCTTTCAGAGAAGTGGAGAGATCTCAAAGGTGATGAAAGCTCTAGTAGGAAGAGCTGGAAGCAGAGAAGAGGTGCTTTCCACCTTCATTGGTTGCTACCAGGGCTGTTGAGTTTTGGATGGATTTTTATGGCTCTGGAGGCAGAGAGGGGCCCTGGATCCTGCTCACTTGCATGTATTTGGATATATTTGCATATGCATTTGGCTTCTGCGTCTCTGGAGCTGAGAAGCGCGCTCAGCTCTCTCTGTAAACCTGAGGGGCTGTTGTAATTTTAATAAGCACCACCTTCTCTTTACAGCTCTTTTCCCCCGCCTTAAGCTTTAAATTCCACGTATAGGTTAATGTCTTGTACCGTGTGAAGAAATATCATTGAAGGAACGATGTTTATAATCAGCTTTAATAAAAGCAATACGCATTCAATATCTTGGGCAACATCCATCTGCACGAGCAGCTACTTTCTAGACAAGAGTTTGGTGCTATCTCCTTTGCTTTGAGAGCTTCTGGGTGCTCAGATTTGAGTAGTGCCTGCATGGCTGGGGTGTGGTTTGTTTGTGGTGTTTTTTTTTTTTCCCCTCCAATGGCCATGTTCAGTGATGACCCAGTTCCTTCTTGCTGGACAAAACCTGGTATGGTCCTTATTGGGCTTCATGATGTGAGACTTCTTATCCTTTTTTTTTTTATTCCCAATTTCCCTATTTTTTTTTTTTTCCAGGGGAGCCAACACTGGGTGCAGGATAGGTGGGTTCTCCCAAGGGAAATCCAGAAGTTGCACTTCTGGATCAGCCTTTCCTGTATTTGCTCTTCAGTGTTTCAGTCCCAAGATTTGTGCAGCTCTTGGGGTGTTTGCCTTAATGTCCCACTTAATTGCTTTTCCAGAATAATCAGGGTCTCATGCTTCCAGTTTGTCCCTCCAGTAATTTCAACAAATTTACAGATTACTGTAAAGCTCTAAGCCTGCAGATTTGTGGACCAGATAGAGTGGGTCTGATTCCTCAGTCTCCAATGCATCAATTAGGAGCTCAAATCTTTCACTTAAGTGAAAATGCCAATGTTAAACATGGACCCTCTTAAAGGGGGCACCACTTAGTGGACTTTAAATACAAGAAATTTTCAGAAAGCCGAAGTCCATGAAAATGCAAAATTTTTCATTCCAGACTTACTAATCAAAGCTGGTCTCATGCTTTCTTGAGCAAGGATTTCTTTTTTTTTTTTTTTTAGTTTCCTGCTTCCCCCCCAAAAAAAATCAAATAATTTGTTAGAAGTAAGTTTTCCTAGAGTAACACTAGGACCTAAAGTGTTCTCTGGAGAGGTAATCGAATGTTGCCCTGGCTTGTTGGGTTCGAGACTCTTGTGACCCATCCTGGAGGATGAGGTGAGACCTTCTGAAGCCCACCAAGATTTCGACACGGAAGAAATTTGCTGAGGAGGTGTCTTGGACAGGACTCTGTAGAGTCTCTTGGGTGGCAAAACCCCTTTTAGATATGGAGGCAAGGGCTCCACCAACAGTGGTAGAGGGAAGGCAGTGAGGAGCCGAGTAAGATTGACGTACAAAACAAACGGAGGTTTTCTAAGGGAATCAAGAGGGTGAAATAGTGGCTTTAAGGAATTTTTCAGTGCTACAGTGGATCTTAATACGTTCTTGGAGAGATCTGCCTGTGCTTTGCACTGCTGTAGGAAAAGCAGGCTCAGATGTCTCCATCCTCTTAAACTGCCCAGCCCTGTGCCTTCCCAAACAGGGATTTTTTTTTATTTATTTTTTTTTTTTAATCCAGGGGGTCTTTTAGAGGCTCATTTCATCCATCTAGACCCCTCCTCACACAATGGGAATCATCTCTGCTTGGGCAGAGCTTTTGTGACCCTGGCTTCAGAGACCCTCTTCGTGGCAACCTCTATGCTGGGGGCATCCCATAATAACCTCTTGCCCCCACGAGACAGAGGGGATATTGCCGCCTGTTATTTCCTGGGGGGGAGATGAGACGTGTTTCCCTGTCTGCAGAAAATCCGAGGCGAAGCCAAGGAAGGAGGCAGGGCTGGAATTAATTTACTGCTTTGTGCAACTCGTTTCTCCACCCCCGTGAACTCTTGACTTGCTGCCTGCGCTCGATCCCCGACAGCTGGCAGGAGATGGGAGCACTCACAGACATGGGGTCACGTCTTTTCCTGAGCTCGAGGGTTCCCTTGAGCTCATCTGCAGCCCCCTGGGTCTTTTCTTGTGCCCGGCTGGCGAGACCCTGCGGAGGAGATGCTTAGTGCCTGTTCGCGATTGCATTTGGGAATCCTTTTCCGAATAGCTTAGAAAATAAATTGCTGTAAGCAACACGTGGGGTTAGATAATAAAAGCTATTTCAAGTGCAGTGCCAGGCTCTGGAAATATTTTTTTTTAATTCCAAAATGGTGGTTTGTTGTGGTTTTGGTTTTGTTTTTTTTTTTTTTTTTTTTTTTGGTGAGACTCTGTGCCTCTCTCTCTCAGCAGGGCTGTGACCCCTTCGCCCAAACCCAGCGCAGCAAACTGCAGCATCGCCGGGCGCGGATTAACCAGCAGATCAACAAGGAGATGAGGATGCGAGCCGGGGCAGAAAACCTTTTCAGGTGAGTCCTGGTCCCCAGAACATCCCTCTGGCCCAGGGATTTGGATGGGGGTGGAAATATGGCCTTGATGTCTTGGAGGCAGCGGATGCTGGCGTTCCCGCGGCTGCGGTTGGGGTTTGCTCAGTTTTCCCTTGACTTTGCAGCATTCGTCCTGGAAATGCCTGCCTTCCCTTCGGTGTAATGCTGATGCTATGCATTTTAATGCAAAATGATAATTTTAACGTCTTGGAAGACTGGTACAAAGCAGGGTGTGGGCAGGTGGAGTAATGGGAATGAAATTTTAACTCGGATTGAGCTTGGACTGCAGAGTTCCTGCCTGATAACCCCAGCACGTGGGTCAAACCCAGGTTTAAGCACAAAAATCCTCATCCCAGTGTTTCCACCAGAGCAGAATCTGAAAATTCAGGTTATGTCTTTGCAGATGGGCCCATTCCGGTGGCTTTTCACCCTGTTAGAAGATCTATTTATGGGATGGGGCAAAAGTTGGGCGCTTTTGGCTTTCAGATTGCAGCTGGTCCAGCACATTCCTGCCTTCCCCCGAGGAGTGTTCATGATGCAATTGCATGATTTTTTTGCAGCTATTTGACCTTTTTTTAACCCAAGGATGACCAGTTTTGGTAGCCCTCGCGTGTGTCTCTCATGCTGCTGTAGGATACTGGAGCACGTGTGCAGGTTGGGTAGGTCTGTTAATAGAAGAAAATATCATAAGGCTGCCCTAAAATAGCTTTTTTGGGCATATTTTGCCAGTTTTCTGATTTTTTTTAATTTCAATACAAGAAGATTGACTTTTCATCTGTGAACTTGAGTGATTTAACGTTCCTATTACCATGCCTATTGCACCTGGAAGAAGGGAGTATTAGTTGCTCCATCACACTATAGGAAAAAAATAGTATTTTACTGGTGGACGAGGACAGTGGGGCTTCCCAGGGGAGGTGAGGTTGCAGCCTCTACACCCCGCTACTCCAACCAGGCTGCCATGCCTTATCTAATTAAAAACAAAAAAACATGAAATCCCAACATGTGCTGCTCCACGGGACTCCCTTTTTTTTTTTTTTTTTTTTTAATAATAAAGAAATTTGTTGTCTCAGCAGAAATAGGCCTGGCCATGGTTTTGATGCAAACGGTGAGAATCGGAGCCGCATGCAGGGGAGTGAGCAAAAATGTGATGCAAGACACATCTTAATTACTTGGCCAGGGAAATGCACTGACAGGGCTCTTTTTTAAATTTTTTTCTTTTTTTTTTTTTTTTTTTTCCGCTTGATCAGCAATTTGAGTGTCCTTTGGTTCCAGCCACTTTTCCTCCCTCCCACAGGTCCATTTTGCAGCTGAGTAATAATGTGGGTTTCTGGGCACTACAGTGCTCAGAAGTTCTGAAACACGGGAAATCTGGGGACAAAAAAAAAAAAAAATCACGCTTGTGCCTGAAATTAAAGGCCGAGGGGAGGGATTTAGGATGTAAATCTAAAGGTTATTGCTTAAAAATTACAGACTTGTTGCACAGAGAAACTTCCTTTGTGTCTCTCTAGGCCAGAGCTAAATGCAAATGGAAAAAAGTCGTGGGTTGCCCAATGTGGAGCAGAGTTTGAAGCTGAACTTGCTGGTTTCTTTGCCTCTGCAAAAAAAAGAAAAAAAAAAAATAGAAAAACCCCATCCTCCCAATTAAAAAAAAAAAAAAATCAAAAAAAACCAAACAAAAATAAACCAACCAAACAAAAAAAACAACAAAACCCAAAACAACCATCGCTCAATGATTTAAAAATAATAGTCTCCTGGACTGTTCTGTTCAGCATATCAGTCTCCTTTCCTGGAGAGGTTGCCATGAATGGTGTGTTGGAAAAAATGCACGTGATGTTTGCTCGGTGGTGTTAAGAGGGTTTATTTGCTGGGTAAATAAATGGGCAGAGGCAGGGGAAACCTTTTCCTTTCTTGTTCAAATACTGGCACTGAGCGAAGCAATCAGGGAGATAAAGGTGTCGCCAATAAATCAGCTTCTCAGAAATAAATTAAAAAAAAAAAAAAAAAAAATCAGAAGTCTTCATTTGGTGTTAGGAAAGCAAACAGCTGATAACTTCACCGAGGAGGTTGATGGAGACACGTAGGCTCAGCGTGCTCAAAGGGAGATCAGCGCTTGGCCCAGGCAGGGAACACAAAGGGCCTCGGTGCAGATTTGCTCACAGAAATGACCGAGTGCTCCCCTGAATTACCTCTCCGAGAGGTGTCGTGCTCTTAAATGTTGCGTGTGGCGCTTGCGGAGCGACCTTGGGCTTTAAAACCTTAACCTGGTGTGGCGGGTCCTGGCAAAACTTGCACGTGCGGGCGCAAAATCCTGCCGAGCAAAACGGGGCTTGGCAGGGTGATACGTCCTTTCTGCTGCAGAGCAGGGGTGAAAACACTGGCCAGAAATATGTCTACATGCAAATGTGACCCTGGTATTGCTGGGTTGCAAATCAGCTATTGGTAATATAAGAAAGAAAAAAAACAACAAAAAAAATATTGTTGCCAGCAGTGAGCAAAAAGGGGAAACTTTAATTTAAATTGGAAGAGAACTGTAGCGACAGCAGTGATGTGCCTGGGGTTTGGAGGTGTTGTGATGAGTGGAGGACTAAAATACTGACTAATTACTGATTTATATGGAAAGAGGGTCATTACTGTATTGAGACCGTATGGGGAATTGCAGAAATGCTGAAGGATGTTTAAATGGAAGCATCCGCAGAGATCTTTGGACCTGCTGTGGTTTTGCTTTGGTTTTGGTTGTTTTTTTTGTTTTTTTTTTTTTGTTTTGTTTTGTTTTTTTTTAGGATAAAAAAAAAATGCATTAGTTTTGGGAAATCCCAGCCAAGGGGAGTCAGGGGAGGAGACACTGAAGGACCAGCATCTTGAAAGAAAAACAGTGTAGCTCCTTCTACTGCCCTGAGCCAGGTCAGGGCAAGGCCCCTGAAGGATGATAGCCACAAAAAAAAAAAACAAAACCAAAAAAAAAAAAAGTCAAAGGCAACACGCTCTGCAAAAGGTGGGGGAAAACGGTGCCCTGGCCGAGCAGAGCTCATGCACGTGTTGTTTTTCCTGGAGCCTGGTGTGATTTAGTGCAAGCAGCCAGACCCCCCCCTTTCATCCGACGGCTGCGCGCTGTCAGCTCTGGGTTATCTCTCCCCGCTTTCCTTCGGAGCAGATAAGAAGGTTAATATCAGCCTGGGAGCTTGTCTTGCTGGGAGCGGGCAGCTGAAATCAATCCTTGGCGTTTACATCTCCTGACGTGCACGAGTGGGAGAGGGAGAGCAGGGTCCAGCTCTCCTAATGGGCCGGCACAACAGCCCTCTTCTCTTACAGAAGGGTTCTCCGCACCCAAAAAAAAAGTTTTTCCTTCTCAAACCCAACCGTGAAGGGCTTTTATTTCGTGTGGGTGAGCACCTTGAGCTACACTGGAGGGGGGAGCGTGGATGGGCGAGGGGGAAGTTGCTTTGGGGCACAAATAGCAGGGTTGTCTGAGTAGGGTGCGACACTGTAATGAGTTTTGCCTGGCCTCAGCCTTCACAGCACAGTGGTCGGGGTGCTCTGGCTTCCCCGGTCCCAAAAGGCTGGAAGAAGTTGAGGGTGATCAGCCTGGAGAAGAGAAGGCTCCAGGGAGATCTTATAGTGGCTTTTCACTTCTTAAAGGAAAATGAAGACAGACTTTTGAGTAGGGCCTGTAGCGACAGGACAAAGGGTGATGGTTTTAAACTGAAAGAGGGGAGATTTGGGCTAGATCGTAGGAAGATGTTTTTTATAATGAGACTGGTGAGACACTGGAACCAAGTTGCCCACAGGGGTGGGAGATGCCCCATCCCTGGAAACATTTTAAGGCCAGGTTGGACGGGGCTTTGAGCAACCTGGTGTAGTGGAAAACGTCCCTGCTCGTGGCAGGAGAATCGGACGAGGTGACTTTCAAAGGTCCCTTCCAACCCAAATCCTTCTATGCCCGTGTGCGGAGCAGGAGGCGCGGTTCTGCGCGAAGGTTTGGATGGATGCACGTGGTACTGCACCCCTGGCTAACTTCACCTCTATTTATTAACGCAACCAAGCGTTGATAAATAAGGGCAGGGATGAAATGGGGGGGAGGCCTCATCCACGCCGCGTTGTCTTGCAGGGCCACCAGTAACCACAAGGTCAAAGAGACGGTCGCCCTGGAGCTGAGCTATGTGAACTCCAACCTGCAGCTGCTGAAGGAGGAGCTGGAGGAGCTGAACAGCAGCGTGGACGTGTACCAGAACGACAGGTAGGCCGGGCAGCTGCCTGTGGTGTGGGAAGAGCAGCTTCTTCAGTTGGGATTTTCATTTTATTTTTATTTAATTTTTGCTTTATCGGAGAGCAAGGCAGCCTCTCACCTTGTACCTGTTCCTCTGCCTCCCTGCTCTGCTGAGGGTTTGGCCCTCTGGCAGGGACCATGAGGTGGTGGCTGGAGAAGAGGGGAGGACTTGGGCACGGGCCAGTTTTGCTGGAAACCGTTTTTCATCCGGGGAACATCAGTGTTTCATTTACAGAGCTGAAAGGAGAGCAAGCTCAACGGCTTTTCCTAGCGGCTACTTACGTGTTTTGGGATGGACAATGCATCCTTTGGACACTGATGTCCCAAAGCAGGAGGAATCGGTTAGAAACAACCATCTTCACTTGCATCATCCCACCAGGGCATGACTTTTTTTTTTTTAGTCGGTGAAATAGGGTATTTAGCAGAAGAAATTAAAAACGTGGTTGCTCAGGTGCTCGACCTCCTGTTCTGGCTGTTCCCAGAGCAGATTGCTCCCCGATTTCTTTTCCCATCGAGAGCATTAGGTTATTTTTCTCTCTTTCTGAGGTTAGACCCTTTTGTTAATTGAAACGCTCTGTCGCTTTGAAACGCTTACCAAGCCACCTCGGGCTTGACTCACCGGGGCGGTAATCCTAGCGCGCTTGCCAGCAGCAAACCACCGTGCCAGGGCGGCTCGGCAGCGCTGTTTCGCTGGGTGAGAAAAGCAGAAATCCCCGAGGCAGAACAGACCGGGAACGCTGCAGCAACGTGGGAGCCACTGCCGCTCCTTCCCTTCCCGAGACGGAGGGGTGGATGACGTTTGATGACAGCAAGCTGAGCGATGCGCTTGACGCGCCTGAGGGACGGGATGGCATCCAGAGGGACCTGGAGAAGTGGGCACATGTGAACCTCGTGAGGTTCGACGAGGTCAAGTGCAAGGTCCTGTGCGTGGGTCAGGGCAACCCCCGGTATCGATACAGACTGGGGGATGAAGGGATGGAGAGCAGCCCTGCGGAGAAGGACTTGGGGCATTGGTGGATAAAAAGCTGGGCGTGGGCTGACAGTGTGCGCTCACAGCCCAGATATCCAACCATCTCCTGGGCTGCACCCCAAGCAGCGTGGCCAGAGGGTCCAGGGAGGGGGATTCTCCCCCTCTGCTCCGCTCTGGGGAGCCCCCCCGGAGCCCTGCAGCCAGCTCGGGGGTCCCCAGCACGGGCCAGACACGGACCTGTTGGAGCGGGGCCAGAGGAGGGACACGGAAATGGTCCGAGGGCTGGAGCAGCTCTGCTGTGGAGAAAGGCTGAGAGAGCTGGGGGGGTTCAGCCTGGGGAAGAGAAGGCTCCGGGGGGCCCTTCGAGCGGCCTCTCGGGGCTTAAAGGGGGGACAGGGAAGGTGGGGAGAGACTTTCTAATAGGGCCTGTTGCAGTAGGACAAGGGGTAACAGTTTTAAGCTGAAAGAGGGGAAATTTGCCTTGGACATAAGGAAGAAATTCTTTATGATGAGGGTGGTGAGACACTGGCCCAGGGTGCCCAGAGAGGTGGTGGATGCCTCATCCCTGGAAACCTTCAAGGTCAGGTTGGACGAGGCTCTGAGCAACCTGGTGTAGTGGAAAGTGTCCCTGCCCATGGCAGGGGGGTTGGACTAAATGACTGACCTTCAAAAGTCCCTTCCAACCCAAACCGATTTGATGGTTCCACGATTCAGTGTCCATCCATGTGCTTTTCCCAGTACATCGTCCACCTCAGGGGAGAACTGCTGTGCTGCTGGGGACAGAGAGAGGTGCAAAGACCAGGAGAGCATCTGTGACTCTGTCCTTCAGGTTATTGCAATGAGATTAAATACAGGACCAGGATAATCTCAGTGCAGGATTGTTTGAGGGTCGCAGCATCTCCTATGGGGAGAAAGCCAAGGGAGCCCTTCACCACCCTTGGGTGTTTGCTTCACTCGGAGGGTCTGTTGCAGTCCCTGAACATAATCCTGGATGTTGCTCCTCCTTCTGTGCTAGAAGTCAGGAGGCATACAACATCTCCCATGTTACATGCATCCTCCCCAAGTTCCTCCCTATCAGGGATGCTCAGCTCTTCCAACTTGTTTGTCCTGGCTTAAAAAGAAAGCAGCAGCAGCAACCCCAAAACCTTGCCCAGGCCAAACAAAAACCCCTTTGTTTTCTCTATGCATTGGATTCAAGCGGAAATCTTGTTAGGGAGCAAGGAATAATGGCTTTTCTGCACTAATTATAGCTCTTGAAGCTGTTTATTCAGTATGAACAGATGAAAACGTGGGTGCAACCTCCCTGTCCCACTCCCCGGGTTTTTGCAATTTTGCCTCTTTTCCTCCCTGGACTAATGAGTGATACGCAAACAAGTTATCAGCAGTTTCTGGAGGTAACAAGAGGGGGCTGTTGTGCAAACCTGGCTCGGCGAGAGCTTGATCTTGCCTGACCCACCTCCCATCTCACTCTCTGCCAAACTTTCTTGTCTCATTAAACCAGTCCCCTGGGAGGCCAAGTGTCCAAGGATGCAGTAACATGGCTCAGTGCCGGGGCTGGGGACATCCCCAGGGGATAGATGAGTATCAGGGAAAGCATTTGCAGAGCCGATGTGAGCTGCAGGAACCACGGCAGGTTCCCATTCCCCATTTCTTTATACAGGAGTCGGACAACGTGTTTGGCTTTGGGGGCTCTTTGCAGGGCTGTAATTTTTTGCGTGCTCAAGGCTCTGCTGCTTATACAGGTCATTTCTTTACCTCTTGACAGCAGAAAACCAAAATAGGCGCAAAGTCCCCCAAAAGATGGTCCTTCCTGGCTGTCACCCTGCAGCACTTCTTCCTCAGTGCTGCGCAACTGCCCTGTTTTAATGTCAAAACACAAACCTCTCCCCAAGCGGGTGTTCCCAGAGTCATCATCATTTCCAGCGTTGTACAATATCATACAGGCTCTGCGATGAGCTATTATTAGACAACTGCTTTTAATAGAGGTAGTAAAATTTCAGTGTCAGGTGGAACACTGCTGCTTGAGCAAGTCCTTATCAGCGCCGAAGCCTGGCTTAGCTCGTAGGAGTGGGTGAATCCGTGACCTGTGCTCACATCACACCCGGTTCCCAAGGGCTGGTAATTAAAGCAGCTTCGTCGCTGGAGCTGATTTTGTTTTTATTGTGTTTGTCATGGCGAGAAAAGCAGAAGCTGGAGGAAAAAGGGCGATGGTTCCGGGTTATTTACTGTGCGCCTTTCCGCCCACGCTGCTGTTCCTGACATCACGTTGGGAAGAGAATCCTTTTAGTTTTACCTAGCAGAAACCCAGGGCAAAGAGCTGCTTCATTTTAGTACCCTGACACACAGGGTCTTCCCAAGGCTTTTAAACCAACCATGAAATAGGTCGCTGTCTTCTTCCAGCGAGTCCATCAGCGTCCCCATGATCCCTTTGGGCCTGAAGGAGACGAAGGAGCTGGATTTGCTGGTACCGCTGAAGGTGAGCATTGGGGTTTTGCAGGCTTGATGCGAGGCAGTGCATTTTCTATTTTGGAACAGCTGCAAAAAAATAAATTTACGGGCAGGAGCTGGACTTAAAACACGGGAAAGTGGGAGATGAGGGTCTGGAGATGCTGGAGATCAAGAACTGGGCAGGGGAGGAGATGGTTTTCCCTGGCGCAGGTTTCCTTGCGGGAGAGCTGGCAAGTTGCTTATAGAGATTTGCCCAAAGTCACCCTTTAAATCATGAAAATCTGTTTTGAATGGTGACTCAGGGTTTTCTTTTCCCTTCTTCCCCCCATCCAGGATCTCATCAGTGAACACTATGGAGAGGAGGGTGCCTTGTTTGAAAAAGAAATCAAAGAGTTCATGGAGCTGCGGCAGGTGAGTGTCCCTTGAGTTGCGAAGTCTTGCTTTGGCTTGGCCAGAAACGCTCCTTGGAGGTGCCACATTTTGCTCCAGGGTCCCCTCAGCCTCGCTTCAAACTGCACCCTTACTCTTACATCTCTGGGTGTGGGATTCCCGTGCTAGAGCAGCTCAGCTTTGGTTCATAGGTTACAAAATATTACAGACCTTTCAGTAACTGTTTTTTTTCCGTTTGTTAACGCCCTGCTGACCTAGAACTGAGCAGCAATAAAAGTTATAATGCAGTCCATTACAGGTTCATGAATATTAGTTCACCCCCGGCAAGGCTAAATGCTGCTCCCTCTCCAGCGCTTGGGGAAGGGGAAACATAAAGAAATTTGGTAAAGGTGAATTTTCTGCTCTCCTGTGTAAGAGATCTCAGAAGTAACTTCAGGTTTTGCCTCGTGAAGCTTTGATCTGGGAGAGTGGAAAGAAAGAGGCTCGCTTAAACCCTTGCGAAGGGCCTGATCCTGCTCTTCATGCTGTGGGAGAGGAGCCCTGCAAAGCCAGAAGATGGGAAAAGGCTCGTGGTTAAAATTAGGCATTAGCAGGGCTCTGACCCTCCTCCCCATGCCAGGTCATAAAGCTCAAGGGCCTTTTTATTAAAAGCAAAAAATCCTGTTTCTTCTCTAGTATTTATGATGTCAGACTTTGCATGAGTTTTTCTTAAAAAAAAAAAAAAAAAAAAAAATCCCAGCGTGGTTTAGATGAGCATTGCCTCCAGCACAGCTACCGGGCTCTGGATTTGGGTGCCCCAGCACCAAACTGGTGCCTCTCCAACCTTTCCCACAGCTGAACCTGTGCTGGGAGGCATCTTATCTGCTATTGATCTGATCTTACTGATCTAATAACTGGGGTGGAGTTTCTCCCCTCTGGGCTGGCCAGCACCTGTAGCTCCATAAATCCGTGATTTCCCTTCCCGTTTTCCCCCACTCTCTTCCCACCCACGTGTCTCCTCTCCTATCCCCACAGGCGATGCGCACCCCGAGCCGCAACGAAGCCGGGCTCGAGCTCTTGATGGAGTATTACAACCAGCTCTACTTCCTCGACAGCCGTTTCTTCCCTCCCACGAAAAGCCTGGGTGTTTTCTTCCACTGGTTGGTGCAGCTTTCCCCATCCCACCGGGGCATCGCGAGTGGGGAGGGAGCCGGGGCCAAACCTCCATGCCGGGATCGCTGCCTCGGCAGCAAAGCCAGAGCTGGGTTTTCCCCTTGCTTTGGGCTTTTTGTTACCCTGGGTGGGTTGGTTAGGGGAGAGCGGGGCAAGTGTGTGCCCCACGGGGCTGAGCCGTGATGGGAACGGTGACAACGAGCCCACGTAGAGCGCCGAAAACCCTCCAGGCTCCTGTACCCGTGGGCAAGGATCCGGGGATGGGCAGGAGTTGACTCTTCCCTTCCCCAGGTACGACTCGCTGACGGGGGTCCCATCCCACCAGCGGGCACTGGCCTTCGAGAAGGGCAGCGTGCTCTTCAACATCGGGGCCCTGCACACCCAAATCGGAGCGCGGCAGGACCGCGCGTCCCTGCCGGGGCTCAACCAGGCCATCGATGCCTTTCAGAAGGCAGCCGGTACGTGGATTCCTCCCTCCCCTGGTTCCCCGGGGGCAGGCAGGCAGCGTTTCCCTGGGGTGGGAATGACCCAGGCGAATGCAAGAAAAGGGAGGGAGCCGTCGTGCAAAGAGGGAGGAGGACGGGGCGTCTCCAAGGGGCCACAAAACAAGTGCGGGGTGGCACCGTGCTGAATCTGTGAGGTATGAAGAGGAGCTGGGATGAGCCAACAGCCACCCAAAGGGCTCTCCCTTGCCACACGGCAGTAGGGATGTCCCAGCTGGGGAGAGAAGAGTCTGCGAGCAGCTGGGAAAGAAAAGGGACCCTGGGGCTGCCATCCCCCGGGGCTGCCATCCCCCAGGGCTTTGGAGAAGAAATCTGTGGGCACAAAGGTGGTTTAGAGAGCGAGGGAGGGACCCCCGGCCCTTTTTACCCCACCAGTTTAATGTGTGAGCTGGGTTGCCAACTCATCTCCTCCTGTGCTGATGGTGGGGAAACCTTCATGGTCCAAAAGACCGACCTTCCCGCTTACGAGCCCGGTGGCTACCAGGAGCTTCTCCCTTGTGCAGGTGCCTTTAACTACTTGAAGGAAAACTTCTCCAACGCTCCCAGCCTGGATATGAGCGCCGCCTCCTTGAACATGTTGGTACGGCTGATGGTCGCCCAGGTCCAGGAGTGTGTCTTTGAGAAGATGACCTTGCTGCGTGCCCAGCACGACTTCCTTGCCCGGCTGCAGCTCGCCCAGGAGGCGGCAAGGGTGAGCACCTCGGGGAGGAGAGGACCTGGTGGGGCTGTCACCACTGGAGAGGCTCCTTCTGTGGTCAGCAGAACCCCCTCAGGAGAGGCCAGCCTGCTGTCACTGTCTCCAGATGGATGTCCTACATCTCAACCCATGGCTTAGCAGCTTGTCTCTTGACACCCCGCAGGTGGAAGACGTCTACTCGCTGGTGCACCAGACGATGACCCAGGCCCACGTGAAGGACTACGTTCCCTTCTCTTGGACCACCATGGTCCACGTCAAGTCGGAGCATTTCAAAGCCCTCTCCCACTACTTCGCTGCCATTGCTCTCTGCGACTGCCCCGGTGAGTGTTACAGCTCAGAGGCAGCTGCTGCTCGGCCAAGTGCCGGCTCCACGTTTCGGAGGTGTTAGCCTGGTGTTTGGGAGGGATTGCAAAAAAAAAAAAAAAAAAAAAAATTGAAGGGAGCCATGCAGAGAGTCAATCTGAAGTTCTTGGAATGCTCTGAACTGTTGATCTCACTTAGTGACTCAGCAATTCATGCACTGGGCAGATTTCCCCCGTATTTCTGGTTTGCACGGTGCTTGCAAAGCCTTTCGAAGAAGCTGAGCAAAAAAGTGCCGTGGGGGTGTCACCTGCTGTCCCCCTTTGGGACTGGGTGGGTAAATAGGGCGTCAGCTGCCTGCTGACCGTGCGTGTGCCGGTGTCCCCGGCTGGGCATCCCCAGGGGCACCCTGGTCCACGTGGAGGGGCAGCTGGGGAGCTTCAAAAAGAACAATAAAGCCAAAAAAACCCCAGGATATCCCTGAACAAACTGGTCTGGGCTACTCAAATTTAATTACCAGCCTCGTAGCCTGCTCTCCTGGGCATCCCAGGGTGGGAGGTGCTGGCAGCAGGGTATGTGTGGCTGCGGCAGAGCCGGGCTTCAGGGAGCCAGCTGGAGCACAGACGTGGGATGCGATCCGTGATCTCCATCTGTGCCGGCACTGACACCCGTTGGAGCAATTTCGGGTCAGGCGAGAGGATCTGGGCGTAGGCAGGCGAGAGGGCACGCCGTGACCGGTTGTGCCGCCCCATCGCTTGGTGGGGTGGCTGAGGACAGGCTGGGGGACTTCTTGGGGGGGATGGTTGCCGAAAGCAGAGCTGTGAGGGCGACGGTTGCCAGACTGTCCCAGCATCCTCCCCCGCTCCGGAGTCTGCCCAAAATCTTGCTGCCAGGCTTGTGCCGCGTAGGCGTTGCAGAAGCAGGATTGAGGAAGGAGAGCTGCTGGGGAAGAACCGGGAGAGAGTGGGATACCGTGGGGCTGGAGCCGCTCAAAGACAGAAATGGCAGAGGATGATGATGGAACTGGGTTTGCATGGGGTTGCAAGGGACAGGGCAAAGCTTTCCCCTAGAATTTTGGGGCTGTTTGCCTGTCCTAGTAACCTTAGGTGCTGAGGGAAACACAAATCTGCAGGAAACACCTAATTTGGGTGTTTGGGGATTTTTGTTGCTCCAGCTGGAGCTGCTGCTGTGCGTGCCCGTTCGCTGCCTCCCCCCTGACCTCCTCGTTCAGAATAACAGATTTTTTTTTTTTTGCTCCCATCACCAGCTGGCAATGAACTCCTTACGCTGCAGTTTAATCCCCGGAGGGGATGCTGGCACGGAGAGGGCTGGCACAGGGAGAGCCAGCCCTGGGGCTACTGGTTCCCAGCCCACTGGATGCCAATACCAGGGTGCTCACCACGCTTTGGGATCTTCCATTTGGACCAGCACGTCCACAAAGCTCCCTGGAAACCTCTGGGTTGCTTCTTACTGCACTCTGTGCCCAGGGGAGGAGGCTGCCGTGCAACCCTGAGCTCTCTGTGAGCCAAAGAGGATTAGGAGCAGCTTTGGTTGGAAATAAAGGTGTAAAAATCAAGTGTACAGAGCCCAGCGTGGAGCGCCTGTGCTAGCTGTATCCATCTCAGTTTCTGCGTTGAAGGACCCCCTTGGTTGCACTACAAGCTCTCTGCCCATGCAGAGGTCCTGGGCACAGCAAGGAGGGCTCAGCTCCCAAGTTACACTTCATTCTGCCCTGCTTTTGTGCTCTAGTTGTTATCTGACTTGGCTTCGTGTCACTCACCTCCAGGTGGGGAAAACCCAGGGCTCTTTATTTCCCATCCTGCTTCCAGACCGGAGGGAAGGAGATAAAAGAGCCCGGATACTTGTGCTGTGCACAGGACAAATCCTGCACTTAGCCTCAAAGCCTGGTGCAGCCCTGAATGTGAGAGCTCGTCCCTCTCCCCATCGGGGACGCGGTGGTTGTCGCAGGCTGCGGTTGGGTGAGAGGCAACTGTTGCTGAAGTTGTGGGAGCCACATGAACGTGGATGTGGCTTCCTGGTCCCCTTGTCCCCACTGCCCCGGGGGTCTGGGTGGCCGAGCAGTGCCCTGACTTCTCTCTCAGCCCAGCCCCACCCGTTTGTTTCACGCAGCGACATCCGATGCTGAAATGCCGGAGCAGGAGAAGGCTTTTATCCAGTTCCACGTCACCATGCCAGAGGGACCGTCGCTCCGCGTCCTGCTGCAGGACCCTGAGGAGAGGAGAAAGCTGGGTAAGCACCTCAGTGGGGGCAAAAGTTCTTGCAATAAAACCTCGATGCACAGGCAGTGAACTCCGTCAAAACCCTACCCGTGTAGGCACGGTCTCCACGAAGGCGCGTGAGCTGCGGCGGGGGGATCTCTCCAAGAAAATGCACCTTATTTTGGGGGGGGGGCTTGCTTTGAAAAGAGCCTCACCTGGGAAGGGAGGAAAGCATCACAGTTCCCCGTCAAGGTGTTGAGGAGCAACTCACGGTGCTTGCACCAACCTGTCCAGGCGAGTTTGACAGTAAAAACCCCGGCGCCGGGGTGTCGTGTGCCAGGTAACGTCACCCAGAGCAGCGTGGAGAAATCCGCAGGGACACGGGGATCCTGGAAGCTTGGGCTTGCCGTTGCCTTGGCTTGGTGACAAGAAGACACGGCAGATGCCAGGGGGCGGCTTTTTTAGCTGCATCAAAAGGCCTGGGAGACGAGAACTTCCTCCCATGCGGATTTTCAGCTTCAGGGGAAAAACAGTGTGTTGCTTATTCAGCTGAAGTCATGTTTTGGCAGCCCCCTCCCTGACGAAGCTGCAACGAGAGCAAGCTCAGCTTGATTTTGGGGTGTCCTCTCCTGTTTGCCTCTGCCAAGAGCTGCCTCCGGGTGCTCTTTCCCCTCATCGCACACATGTGAAAGGAGACGGGTCCCACCAGCCATGAGTTTGTCATGTCTCTGGCCCCAGCAAATTCCTCCTGGCTGCTCGGCCAGATTTCACTGCTGGGGATGGGAGGTGGAGGACGTGCACGAGGAGATTCTTTAAAGGAACCCCAAAACCGGAGGGTTACGGCAACACCCCTTCAACACCCTCAGCTGCTGTCGTCTGGTTTCACGATTTGCATCAGCCCAGCTTCCAGCTCTGTCTGCTCTTCTTGGAGGGGGGGAGTGGGCCCTGTTCAACATCTGCTGGTGAAAAATAAACATGCAGATGCCAGCCTCGGCTCTGGTTTTGGTTTACAGGAAGGGAAGAATCTTGCGGCATTAAAATCATCCCCCTGGAAGGATATATTTTTTTTCTCCCTTCCCTTGTCTCCTAGTCTTACAACGTTATGTTTTATCAGACATAATATATTCCACCATCTTCAGTAGAGCAGAACCAAAAGGTGGCACAACTTGCACACTCGAACCTCTCTTCCCCATAATCTCTTGGAAATAGCACAAGTAATTGATAATCATTAAAAACTAGTTGCTTTCTTGTTGATGGTGCTTTGGTAAACTGCGTTTGATGCATTTGATACAACTACTCTGAAGAGTCTCTTCCTCTCTGGTTTCCATCCAGCCTCGATATATTTCCTCGATTGTGACTTCTCATGGGGGAAAGGAGAGGTCTTCATGCCACTGGCCGCAGTCCTCATAATTCTGGAGCAAACTCCAACCATCTCCCTGGGTTATGTTGCCACCGTGTGTCCTAAAACTGGAAATGCTACAGGCACACGTGTTTCTATGATACGTGTGTATATATATATAGCTTTATCGGTAGTTTAGCGTTGGATACGGGTATCTCGATTGCAGTCTCTTGCAAAGAAGATGCTTGCAGTGATATCCATGGGTCATCGTGATTTCATCTCTTCCGGCCATTTTTCGGCTCTTCTGTTTTCCCGAGGATGGGAACATGTCGAAGGCAAGTTGAGAGGAGCAAAGCAGGAGCAGATGCCGAAGGGGATGGAAAAGCAGGACCAGCAGGGCAAGGAGAAGGCTTTTCTTAGCCTAGAAAAGAGGGAGACGTGTTGCATCTTCCCAAAACTAAAAGGCTAATACCCGGAGGACGGGGCTTAATCGTCCTCTGTGTCCCTCCCCGGGGGACGCAAGGCGATGGAGAGAAGTTAATTTGCAGAGGAGATTGAGGTTAAGCGTTCGGGGGGACTTCGGGGGCGGCGCAACGCGGTGGCAGCTCCTTCACCGTCGGTTTTCGGGAACATCTGCCAGCTCCGCTGCCGGCGCCGGGGGAGTGAAGTAGGTCACCCTTCCAAGGTCCCATCCCAGCCCCCTACATCGGGGGCTCGAGCTGACGGCTGGGACCTACTCCATTTAACGCACGTTGAACGCCTGGCAGGCTGCGAACGTGACTGGGCTGTCCCTGAGTCACGTCGGGTGACACAGCCGCCTCCAGCCGAGCGAGCGGAGAGGGACGGGGCTGCTCCGCTCCACTCGGGCTGCCATCTCTCTCTGCTCCCTCGCAGGCAAAGCTCACCTGAAGAAAGCCATCATGAAGCACGAGGAAGCCATGAGGATTCACGGTTTGTGCAAGATCCTGCGGAAGATGGATATCCTCCAGGAGGTCCTCTCCTTCGCCCACAAACGCTCGCTGAGCAAATACTCGGAAATCGACCACGAGGAGGACTTCTTTGAAACCGGAGATGCCCCAGACATTCACCGTAAGTGTTTTGTTTTTCAGGGCAGGGTGCAGCTGGGGAGGGGATTTGTGGCAGGTGGGATGGGGTGGGCAAACTCCGCGGGGAGTTCGTGGCATGGCACTGTGGACCAGAGCTCCCTGCTTTGGCGGTGGAGCGTCCCGGGGGGCTCTGGGTTACACGTCTGGCAGCTGCCTGAGCAGGTCCCAGCTCTTACGGGTCGTAGCATCCCTCCTCGGGGAGCACTACCTGACCCTGTGTGCTTTGCTTTTCTCTCCCTGCCCCTAGCCAAAACGCACCAGAAACCAGAGATAAAACCCCCCAACTTCTCCCAGGTGAAGGTGACCGACCTCTTCCACAGGCTGGTACGTACAGCTCCGGGATGGAGGTTGCCCCGAGGGAGCAGACATCTCCCTCCTCCTCCCCTGCATGCTCTGCTTGCCTGGTTTCCTTCCTCCCCGCAGCCTCTTCTCCCTCTCCTGGTGCAGCTCTCACGAGTGGCTTTCCAAGGAGGATGAGCCACCTCCTCGCAGGCAGGGACCCGTGCAGGAGGAGGGCTGGGAGGGCATGGATCCATCTCTGCAAGACCTAAATGGGTCACGAAGCTCCTCCAGTGCACAGGGCGCAGGCATTTTGGGGGGGATTTACTTAAAAAGGACCCAAAGGGACCCTTTAGAGGAAGGTTTTTGGGGGCAGGGTGGGGCCAGCTGGGAGGCACCAGGAAAATCCCACTAGACCTTTATCCCTACCCTCTTTAGGCTTACAGGGTCCTGGGGAGCAGGACTGAGCTTCGAGGCTGCTGTGGGACCTGGCGGTGCTGTTCCCCTCCCCCGGGCACCCCATAGAATAGAAAAGTAGGAAAAAGATAGGAAAATAGGAAAGATTTGGGGGAGGATCTGACCCCGCAGAAGTAACCTGTCCAATAGCCTCGCACCCTGCTGCTGGACCACCCCAGCCAGGCAGCAGTGATGTTTGTTTTTTTTTTTTTTTTTTTCTGAAGGGAATTAAGGAGCCACCTCTGCCCACTGGAGCTTTGTTTTGTTTGCTCCAGGATTAGAGAGTCTAAACTGATGCCAGCTCGCTGACTGTACCAAGACGTCCTCCTCCTGCCTTGCAGGAGTGGGGCAGAGCCAGGAGGATGTCCAGACCTAAGCTTTGGGCAGAGGGTTGGACCAGAGACCTCCCGAGGTCCTTCCCAACCCGCATAAATCCGCTGCTGCTCATAAACCCAACGTCTGACATGGGCTTTTAAGCACCTCTAGCTTCATAGTGCTTAAATCTGCATTTTTGGGCATGCAGGCAGGGTAAACCACCCCGTAGGCTCTAAATCATCCTTAAAAAAAATACAAAAGCCAGGCTTGCTTGCTCTGCCTCCTCCCCATCAGTGGGTGTTTCCGCAAGGTTGCACGTCCCCGGGGCGTTGTGCTGGCACCCAAAAAAAAAGTGCTTTCCGTCTCTCTGCCTTACCCCAGGGGCCCCTTTCGGTTTTCTCGGCCAAAAACAAGTGGTACCCAGCGCGGAGAGTCCACCTGATGAGAGGAGAGAACGGTTTTGGGTTCACACTGCGAGGAGACTCCCCCGTCCTCATTGCTGGTGTCATCCCGGGGGGCTGCGCTGCCGTGAGTACCCCAGGCTCTCGCTGTCCCCGTGGGGATGCCTGGAGATGAGGGGTCAGGGCTTGCCTCGGGGGGGTACCCGATGGTTTTTGGTCTGACCACTCAGTTGGTGACTGCACCGGTGTGCTCAGGTGGAGGCATCCCTGCCGGATCTCAGCCTGGGGCTTGCAGGTGGGTGTCGTGAAAGAATGGAGGTATTTTTAGGAGACAGCTAAAGAAAAAAATACGGAGGGTAGCTCAGATTTTAACTGCTGGCAGCCGCTCTTTGGCAAGCACCCAGCTCCCTTCTCCCCCATTTTGGGACGTGACAGCGGATGGAACAAGGTGGCATGTCTGAAACGTGAGTTATCTCAATGGGAACTCACTGTACGGGCTCTCTGATGTATCAGGGGCAACTTTGTTTTCCAGCAGAAGCTTGCTGGAGCATCCTGGTGGGATGCCTGAAAAGTCTCCCCTCTCCCTCAGCACTTGTTGACGCCTTGATGGATGAAGGGTGTGCCGAGAGCCTTGCCGAGCCTGTTTGTTTTCTCAAGGATTGAGGCTTGCAGGAAATATTTTAAGTTGTTTTGTTCTGGTTTGTTTTTTTTTTTTTTTTTTTTTTCCTGGAGACCTACAGCATTTAGCCTTTTTCGACGGGTCAGAGCTGAATGCACCTTCTGCAAGGCTGCAAAAAGTCACAGGGCCGAGCGTTTACAGCGTGATGGATGTCAAGCAAGACATTCTTAGCCTGCAGAGCACCCTACTTTTGCAAGCGTGCCGCGAAGCAGATGTAAAATCTTTAGGATGCTGAAGGCATCAGCTGTCCTGTGCTGTAGGTGGAAGGTGGACCCCACCCCTCCCTCTGGCCCGGATCTCCACAGGATTGGGACCTACGGAGTGGGGTGGAGGCTGAGCAGAGCTCCTGCAGTGGTATCCGCGAGCTGAAACGTGCATCTTCTCTCTTCCCCCCGCAGGAAGCCGGGCTGAAGGAGGGAGACTACATCATCTCGGTGAACGGCAAGGACTGCAAGTGGTCCAAGCACGCCGAGGTGGTGCAGCTGCTGAAGAGCACGGGGGAGGAGGGAGTGGAGATCGGTGTGATAACCCTGCAGGGTTCAGAGGGACCGAAATCCGTAAGTCGCATCCCGAGCCTTAGGTGGGAAACTGCAGAAGAGGTTCCCCAGTGTCTTGGTGCGGGGCTGAAGCCAGGCATGGCGCCTGCAGCCCTGGCTTCACGTCCTTCTCCTTTCCCCTTCCCAAACAGGCAGATAAGAAGCCAGCAGCAATGTCCTCGGGCAGCGGGCTGCTGAAGAGCAACAAGGAGAACAGCCGAAAGAGCCTGATGAACAGCAAGAGCGCCAGCACGCTGCTGGTCTGGAGCAAGAAGAGCAAGAGGAGCAAGAAGAGCACCTACGGCGTCCCCTTCACCGCGGTGGGTGACAACGAGGCCACGTACTGAAAGCCACCGCCGGGTCAGGCTGTGGCCCCACGAGCTCCGGGGCTGGCTGCCCGTGGACCCTCGCAAGCACCAGTGGCCTGTCGGTGCTGCAAGGACCGTGGGGACGTGCTGCTGGTCAGAGCCTCTCCAAAGAGGCGAGCGCTGCACAGTACCGGACCCCTCCGTCTCCCAACCCCTGTGCTAAACGATCCTCAGCTAAACAATGTGGGGAAACGCTGGTTTATTCTCAATTTTTTAAAATATTTTTTGGTTTTGGTTTGGTTTTTTTTTTTTTTTTGCTCTTAAGGGGTCGTGGGGAGCTGTGCTTTGCCATCAAGCAGGGACTGGTTTGTGTCTTCTGCTCAGTGCAAGGAGCAGCCAAACCAAGCCCCGGCCATTAAAGCAAAAGCTGTAACCTTTAGCATCTCTTGGGCTTTCTCTGCAAATGGTGGAAGACGGCGCTGCTGCCACCGCTCGCCGAGAGCTGCTGGCAGAGCTGACTTGTTCAGCAGCTCCAGCTGGAGGTCACCTTCGACTCCCCTTTTTGGGAGAGGGGATAGCTGGGGCATCCTTGACTCACAGTGACCCCATCGTGGGGTCCAGGACAGACCTGCCCAGGCAGCACTGGGCTGTGCATCTCTGCCGCGGTACCAGTTAGGGATGTCCCAGTGAAATGGGTTGAAGTTAGGGCAGGTTTGACCATTTTTCAGCGCTCTTTATTTTATATTTTTAATGGACACCCAGGTGGGCCCTGCTGACACAGCCCAGCTGCACAGCCTGCTTCTTTGGAAGAAAAGGGAAAGACTTAACATGCATTTGTTGTCTCTCTTTTTTTAATGAGTAGAGGTGGATTGCCCTAAATATGTGAGTAGATTAATAGCTAAGAGCCTTGGGTTTTTTTCCTTGGTATGAGATTAAAATTCCGGGAAGATAGCTCCTCCAGATTATTAAACTACTAAATTTGTGCTAGTATTGGATCTTGCACACATTGCTAATATCCTAACACTGTGCTGTCAGCATTCGTACCCGAGCTGGGCTGATGGATACATGCATCTTGATAATTGTACTGGAAATGCTGGGAGACTACGAATACGCGCTTAGATATATTGGCAAAATCTTCTCAACCCCATTTCTGCCTTGTGCATTATTTTTCTGAAGGCTAAAGAGCTGTCTGGTCTTCAGTGCTTGGATGATCTTGGTAGGTATAAAATACCCTTCAGAGACGCAACTGTATTTTTGTACTTTTTAAGTCGTGACAAATTTGTAGCGGTCGTTTGATGAAGTGAACGCGCGCTGGATCACCGTCGCGAGAGCATCCCCCCCCCCCCCCCCCCCCTCCCCCGGGGTTGTACCATGACTTCTTCTAGGTGGCTCAACGCCCACGTGCCAAGCTTTCGGCCCTGGTTTTGTTTAAGGAGAACTAAAGGAGGGCTTCTAGCTCTGCGTTATCGATCGAGACGCCTCTCCGTAGGCTGAGGCATCGTCAGACGGGATCACGGGTCCGCCTGCCGCCACGAGGCCATCTGGCGCAGTCAGATTTTCTGTGTCATCTTGCCAGCTGCTTGGCGCGGGAGTGGGGAGGAAAAGGCCACCTTGCCATTAAAGCACCCTGGCAACATCTTGCCCCCTTCCCTCCCCCTCCCCCCCGATCCTAAATGCGTTGCCGACACAGACGTCTCCGGGCTGGAGATGTATTTATTTAGAACGTGCACAAGCGGCGAGCCTGCGCGTCGCGTTCCCACCCGCATCACCCAACTCCTCCGTTGGCGTTGGCGGAGGGGTTGTGTTTTGTGTGAGTTGGATAATTTTCCTAACACTGGTGTTTTCATCTTGTTTTTTTTTTTTTTTTTAATTTGTACGTGGACTCTCACCTTTTATGGATTAAAAAGCACTGATTCAAAACCACTTCGTAGCGCCCTTCTCTCGTGAGTCACAGGTGGATCCGCCAACCGTGGCGGGGGGAACAAGCCCCGGTGGGGGTTCCGAATGGGTCAACTTTGGGTCATGTTTGCAATGAATCTGGAGCTGTTGAGGTTGAGAGAGACCATTTGGCTCTAGGGTGGCCTGATCCAAAGCAAACCAAAATCCTAAGCGTCCGTATTAACCCTTTGCGGACCGTCTTCATCTCCAACGTGGTGTAATGGGAGCTGGTGGCTTCGTCGCGTGATTTATTTAATGGAAGTAATGTGGGAGGTGAGGAGCGGGGCTCAGGCTTAGATCCTGTGGGATTTTTCTCCTGGAAAAAAAAAGAAACCATTCAAGAAAGTCGTCTTTGCTTCATACAGCATGTTTTGATCTGCTGCTTTTGGATTTCCAAAACAGGGTTTCCAACGGCCTTATTACTAGAAGACCACAGCAGTGGGCATGAAAAGCATCACTTGTGCTGGAGGAGCTCACGGATAGCTGGTAAACAGCAAAGCCTTGACGTGACATCCCCTGTCTGTTATCCCTCAGGGGTCTGCGTTTCACTGGACCCCACCTCCTCCCCATCCTGGGAAGATGACCAAGCCCGTAGCTGTGGGGCTGGACCATGGGTCCTGGCAGCCAGACGAGTCCCTTGTTCAAGGAACATAAACCCTACAGGAGGTGAAAAGACAGAGTAACTCCTCTTCAGAGACACAGAGGTGGGTTTAAACCCCCCTTAGATGGGAATAAACCAAGGACAGTGCTTTCAACACTGGGTTAATAGATAAAAGGGTGGTGGGGACTTTCTCCTGTCTAGCAAGCCAGGGTTAAAACAGCTTCTGACTTTTTCGGGACATAATTTGTAATTTTAAGGTGTTTCCCCTTTCATCAAACCCCCTGCACCAGCACCACCCTCAAAACCCTACCAGGTTTTTTAAGCCACCCCCAGTAAGTTGTTCTGCTGCAGTAGATCCTTTTCCCACCTACGATGTGGGAAACTCGTGACTCTGGTGCCAGAATTGCCTCCCCCTCTGATGAGATGTTTTCAGATGAGACGTGTGCTCCATCAGCAGGAGCCTGGTGCTTCCTCCCTCTCTGCCGAGAGGTTAGGGTGCTGGATCTTTCCCTGCTTGTCTTCTCCATCTGGACCAGGAGGTGGAGGGGTCCTGTAGGATCTGGGGAAGGGAGGACACAACGTGGACAGAAAGCACAAGAACTATTGCAAAAAAAAAAAAAAAAAAGAAAAAAGCTGACAGTAAAAAAGAACTTGTGGTCTTTCCAACCTCTATCCCTGCAGAGGGGAGCTCCAGGTGGGCTTGGGAGCTGAGACCATCTGCAACACCCTTCAGTCTGGGCATCCTGGGACCAGTTAACGCAGCTCTTACGGGCAACTTACGACCAGAGAGGAGGTGCAAAGAGGGTGTATTTTTATCCCTGATTGATTTCTAGGGCCCTTGAGACAGAGCCCACCAAACCCACAGAGGTTCAGCCCAGTTTCCTGCTTTTGAGGTTGAATTGTCCCCCTTTCGGAGCTTCATGCTCGATAATAAAAATCTCCTGACCCATAGATCAGCCCTTCCAGCATGGTGGGAAGGTGTTTTGATTTTCCCCTCCATTAAGTACACAACGGCTCTCTTAATAGAAGAGGAGAAGGTACCTGCAGTGTCGGGAGCCACGGCCATGTGCCTGCCTTCTCACTTCACGCCTCGTTGGCACCGTAACCCGTAATGGTTCCTCTGGAGCTGTCACCAGCTACAAATTAATACTCCAGCCTGTCCCTGGGGACAACTGAGGCAAAGCAGCTACTGGGCTGATGGCCCCCCACCCTAACGTGGTTTGGCTCTGGGACACGGCAGCTGTGCAAGGTGCTCCCACTGGTTGTTACGCTGAATTTGCAATTTGTTAGCGGGATCAGGCCCTTCAGCAGCCCCTGGTGCTGCTTTGAAACAGTCTCGGGTCAGGAGCGGGTCGGTTTGGGTGAAGGATGGGGCAGAGCAGGATTTCTCCTGCTCCCAAGAAGGGGAACGAGGCTATCCCCACTTGGCCCCTTGTCTGACGCTCACGCCATCCCGTGGAAGGTGTCATCCGCATTCCCACCTCCCACCTCTAGCCTTGTTGAGCACCCGTGTGCTCGATAATTAGGGTGCCCACAGCCCACCTTTCCTTTCCAGGCTGAGCCCACTGGAGGGCAGCAGCACCCTGTCCAATGCACCCACTCCTCCCACAGCACCAGCACCCCGCATCCACCCAGCCAGGCCGGCACCCCTCGACCCATGTTGACACCTGAAGGTGAGTAGAGCTGACCCTGGGGTGCTTTGGAGACCAGTGCATTGCCAAACATGGCATAAAAAGTAGTTTTAAACCATATATCCTGCAAAGTCCTTATGGGGGAAGGGTGCAAGAAATAAAGTCAAGCGTTAACAGGGCGGCATCCTCTGAGGTAGAGCACCCTGAGCTTGTAGCAAGCTCCATCCACCCTGCAAAGGAAGGATGAAATTTTGCTGGGAGCACTGGGAGCACCCATCCTGCTCCCACAAGCTGCCTTGGGGGCCCCACTGGGGCTGTGGTGGGGTATTTGCTCCCCTGGGCTGATCCTAAAATCTTTGCCAAGGTGCTGGCTGCGATTTGCGAGATCCCTTCTCTGGCCCTTGTTTTCCAGCTGTTTGGAGGTGCTAAAGCCCTCCTGTGTGACCTTGTGCGGCAATAAACAGCACTGGGAGGTTCATCAGACATGAAGCCACAAAAGAGGGGCTGTGCTGAAGGGGTATGAAGTCACCAGCACAGCAGAGCCAAGCGGGTCAAGGCTGGGCTTCAGGTCAAGGCGCTGGGAGCTGCAGGGAAGAGACCAGGAGGTTCAGAAGCTGGTGGAGATGTAAGCTGGGAGCGTTGCACTAGAGGGCAGAGTCAGTACATGCTGAATCCCGCTCCCCACAGCCCAGCCAGCCCTTCATCACCCCCCATCCGCCCCAGGACAGGGTGAGATGGTGCTCGAGTCCTGTTTTGTCGTGTACCCCCATGCATGCAGCGCCACGCAAGCGACTCTCTGCAAACCGCTCTACGTGCTCGCACCCAAGTGAGCTCTTGCTCTTACAGTTGCCTCGATGCTGCTCGACAGCAAGGCGGCTTGCATCTGCCCGGTGGGTAAAGTGCTTCTGGGAGGGGAGGGAAGGCAAACTGCCACGAGCAGGGACCTGCCAGTCACCTGCCTGTCCCCAGGGTCCCTCATCCTCAGCTACATCCTACCAGGGACAAAAACGGTGGCTGAAGATAGCCCCCCACACCATTCCTGGAAGGTCCCTGGGGACTGTTCGACCATTTCCTCATGCACAGGAGCAAGTGTCTCCTCCGTGGAGGAGGTCGGACGTGGCCCAGGGTGGGCCTGGTCTGGCAGTGGGGCAGGAGTGGGGAGGGGACCTCCTTTGATGACCTTGTGCCGTATTTTCTGTGGGACATGAGTGTTTCTGAAGGGTTCGTGCTCTGTATTCCAGAAGAGGATGGGGAAGGATGCTGGTCCTCCACTGGATTCATCCCCAGAACTTGTCTTGAGGTGTTATGGGTCACCTTTTCTAAGCTAGTAGCTATTGCACAACCCCTCCCTTCCTTATTTTAATCTGCAAAATTCTTACCCTAGGCAGAGTACAAAGCTGCCCCGCTTTAGGATTTGCATCCCCATATGAGGAACTGCCTCTGACCACCTCTTTGCAGCAGCAGCAACAAGAGATGGACAAGTTTCCATCTTGGACACAAACTCCACTGGCATAGGAGACCGAGGCCGAAGCAGAGATGTGGGGCTTTCACAGGCCACAGAATGCACTGGGAGACCAGTCTGGGTCTACAACAAGCCACAAGGGCAAGAGAGCCATGCTGTGGGGGCAAAATCATGCTGTGATGAAGGAAGGTCATGTTATGGAGCAAGGTGGGCGTGCTACGGGGCAAGGAGGTCATGTTGTGGTGAAGGAGGGTCGTGCCGTGGAGCAAGAGGCTCATGCTAGGAGGCAAGTGTGTCATGCTACGGAGCAAGAGGGCCGTGCTGTTGGTCAAGGACATCATGCTAGAGCACAACGGGGTTGTGCCGTTGGTCAAGGACATCATGCTAGAGCACAACGGTGTTGTGCCGTTGGTCAAGGACATCATGCTAGAGCACAACGGGGTTGTGCTGTTGGTCAGGGACATCATGCTAGACATCATGCTAGAGCACAACAGGGTTGTGCCGTTGGTCAGGGACATCATACTAGAGCACAACAGGGTTGTGCCGTTGGTCAAGGACATCATGCTAGAGCACAAAGGGGTTGTGCCGTTGGTCAAGGACATCATGCTAGAGCACAACAGTGTTGTGCTGTTGGTCAGGGACATCATGCTAGAGCACAACAGGGTTGTGCCGTTGGTCAAGGACATCATGCTAGAGCACAACGGTGTTGTGCCGTTGGTCAAGGACATCATGCTAGAGCACAACGGGGTTGTGCCGTTGGTCAAGGACATCATGCTAGAGCACAACGGGGTTGTGCCGTTGGTCAGGGACATCATGCTAGAGCACAACGGGGTTGTGCCGTTGGTCAAGGACATCATGCTAGAGCACAACGGGGTTGTGCCGTTGGTCAGGGACATCATGCTAGAGCACAACGGGGTTGTGCTGTTGGTCAAGGACATCATGCTAGACATCATGCTAGAGCACAACGGGGTTGTGCCGTTGGTCAAGGACATCATGCTAGAGCACAACGGGGTTGTGCCGTTGGTCAAGGACATCATGCTAGAGCACAACGGGGTTGTGCCGTTGGTCAAGGACATCATGCTAGAGCACAACGGGGTTGTGCCGTTGGTCAAGGACATCATGCTAGAGCACAACGGGGTTGTGCCGTTGGTCAAGGACATCATGCTAGAGCACAATGGGGTTGTGCTGTTGGTCAAGGACATCATGCTAGAGCACAATGGGGTTGTGCTGTTGAGCGCAAGCATCACCATGTGGGTCAAGGGTGTTGTGCTATGGAGCAAGAGGGTCATGGTGTGGAGCGAGGTAGACGTGCTAGAGGGCAAGAGGATCATGCTGCAGGGCAATGGGGGTCATGCTATGGAGCAAGGGGGTCATGCTGGGGTGGAAGGGGGCTTTCAGGGTCCTGGTACTCAGTGGGGATCCCTCATGGCTCGCAGCAAGCCCAGCTGGTGTGAGTTTGCTCTGCGTGGCTGGATGCAGTGGCTGGGCCGGGATTTGCCCTTACATTGAGCCAAACCAGCAACCTGCATGACCCTCCAGGAGCTGTGGGTCCCGCTCAGCTCCTGGGGACCAGGGGCAACCAAACCCTGCAGCATACAGAGGGGACCTTATCTGCAGCACCCAGGGGCAATAAATGCAAAGCAGCACTGTGGGGGTGCATCTCTCTGCTCTGCCTCCTCCCTCTTTCTCTCCTACCATGGAGCAACTCCTGCCGTGCCCCTAGACTCTCCCAAGAAACTCATCCTATTTTTTTTTTTTTCCCATCTCAGGAGCAGCCCTACTCTTTTTCCCTGCAGTCACGAAAAGCTTCCTTCTCCAGGGCCCAGTCTTTAATGGGAAGGACAGAACTGAGTCGTTCAGAAATGGCTCCTGAATCTTTAATAAAGCAAACATTGCCTGGGCCATAAACATATGATGACAGCAACAGAGGCTCTCAAGCTTATTGCCTGGCCGCTAGTTCTTTACTTAACTCTGCTATAATGGCTTTAATAGCCCGGGAGGGAGCTGAGGTGAAAGTCCTATTAAAAAATGTATTTCCGAATTTAATTGAGGCTCCATCTGTGGGGAAAGACAGAGAAGAGGTCGCTCCACAAGAGAGCTATGAAAAAAAAAAAAAAAAAGACCTCCCTCCACCTTCCCCGACTCCTGCCCTGCCCGGTTAGTGCCCAGCAGCAAATCCCACCCCAGATGGTGGCCCTGGGGACATGGGATCTTCAGAGTGTTCCCTCCCTGCTAGAGATCACCAGTCCCCTGGGACTGTCCCTTGCATGAAAGGGGAAACCTTCATTTGTGATCTATCCCCTCTGGCTTTGCAAGGGTGTCCCCTTGACAATCAGCCAGGACACGTGTCTATGTGGTCCACAAAGCCCATCAGTGTGTGCAGGCAGCACCACCATCCTTACTGGGCAGCACTGGCCGCCATAGTGGCCTCGCCAGAAGTGTTGCCTGGACAATCAATCTGACTGCCTCCCCACTCATCTGACCTGAACAAGGCCCTCCAGCCACCCATCAGTCCATCCAGCTGCTCCCATAGGATCCTAGACACCTGGTTGCATCTACATACACATATATATTGGCATCATCAATTCTTTTACTTCAGCTCCATCAATATCCATCCATCCATCCATCCATCTACTCATTCACCTCTATCAGTCTATCTGACCACCTCTCTACCTACCTATTTATCCATCCATCCATCCATCTGTCCATCTACATATCCATCAGTCAGCCTATCCATCCATCTAGCTATCTCTCCATCCATCTCTCCATTCATCTACCTACCAGTCCATCTATCCACCTATCTACCTATCAGTCTATCTATCCATATATCTATCCATCTCTATCCTTCCATTGATCCATCTGTCCATCCATCTATCTCTCCATCTTTCCTGTCACCCAGCACTCAGCTTTTCTCCATCCAGGGAAGATTTGTACTCTGAGACCTTCAGAACCCTTTAAAGAAGTCACCAGGGATGAGCCCAACACTTCAGGCTGCGAGACATCCCCGTATCCTGGATCACCACTGTTTGGGGCTAGACACCCTGAGAGAGGGTTTTTTTCTCCCCAGAGGAGTGTCTGTTGGAAGAGAGATGAATAAATGGACAAACAGACAAGGAGGCAGATGGATGGCAGATAGGGAAAGGAGGAACGAAAGACGAAACAGTTGGGATCAGGCTGGGAGACATCCCTGTCCGCTCGAACCGTGCCGGCGTGTGGGCTCGCAAACAGCCACTTTAATTAGTGATGAAGAAGAGGGGTTGGGAGAGGAGGAATTCACTCCTTCCTCCACCCCTTCCCTGCGTCCTCTCCTGGCGAGCATTACCCTGAGTCAGCAGATCTGCCGAGGTCACGCCACCCGCTCTATTAATTGGATTAATAAAGATGTACGTCACTGAGGTAATTACCCACTAATTGGGGATGACAAGGTTGTCAGGGTTTGTCCCTCGAAGGGACAATTTCCCGTCCCCAGCCCTCCCCTTCCCCAACACGCACTGAGTCAATCGCATTAATTAAAAATCAGAGAGTCCATAACCTTGTGCTGCCAAGCCCCGGGGAAATTGCTGCCTCCAGAGCCATGTGACAGGACAGGGTGGTGGCATCTGCCACCTCCGGCCACCAGCTCAGCTGGGGAGCACGGCCCAGGCTGCCAGCACCCAGGCAGCAAGTTGGCAGGGTCTCAAAGTTCCCTTCTCCTCCCCTGCGTCCCGCATTAACCCTTTGAAGATGCTGTGAGGTACCAAGAGGGAACGCATCGTTGACTACGTTGACGTGCAGCACCTCTCATGCCATAATATCCGGGAACACAAGGCCTTTGACTTTTTGAAAGAAAACCAAACTACACCATCACCCCCCCGCTTCCCCCATAACATGCAGGTAACTCTTTCAAAAAAGGCAATGCCAATTTAAAACGTTTCATTTAAAAAAAAAAAAAAATTTCCCTGAGGAAAGATCTCAGCTTGATGATATCTCGGTGATGAAACATTTCCATTCCCGGCCCTCTCCCTGGAGGGAATCCCTGCTGTCGGCTGTGAACTGTCTCTGCCTCTCCCTGGACTTCTGCCTCAGTGGGGATGTCCAACGTACGTCCAAGCGCCTTCTCCCTCATGGCCAAAATGCCCCGGGGAAGCCTGGTGCTGAGCCCTGCACAGCCGGACGCTGAATCCTGCAAGCAGCAAGCTGTGCCCTGATGTTCTGCACAGCTGGATGCTGCACAGCTGGATGCAGAGCTGCGCGAGGCCGGCGGTGCGTCCTACATGGGGATGAGGCGTCTTGCGCGGCCGGATGGGACTCTGACACAGCTGGATGCTGAGGTCTGCACATCTGGATGATTCGGAGCTGTGCGCAGGCTGATGCTGGGGCTTAGACAGGCATGAGGAGCCTGGCACAGCTGGACGGTGAATCCAGCACATCTGGAAGCTGCACAGGCTGGGACGGGGTCGGGTGCCACGAGATTGCGCGGCCTCAACACCGCTGGAAGCGCTGAGCTTTGGGGTCACAGACTCGTCGAGGCAGGGGGGCTGTTCCCACGGCGGCGGCAGGGGGGGGGGGGGGGGGGCACGGCAGTAAAATCGGCCCTGCCAAAACGAACACGATCGCCACAGTTTTGTTTTTACTGTTAGCAAGGCAAGAAAATTCGCCGCGGAGGGCGAGCAGTGGCTGCACAAAGGCATGTGAGCAAAACCAGTGAGTCACCGCCTGGCAAAACTCAAAAATTAAGAGCAGGTGGTGGGACTGGGAGGACTGGGGGGGGGTTCAGTGTCTGTTCCCATAGTGGGAACAGCTGGTTAGACTGGGTTCGTGGCTCTGAGCTCTGTGAAAAACAGGGAGGAGGGTTACGTGGCTTGCAAGGACACAAGGCTAGGGGGAGGTATGTTTGGATTCAGTTCAGCCCTGCGTGAATATTTTGCTTTTCCCCGTGTCTAGTTGGCTTGGCCCCCAAATCTCTGGGGCTTTCTTGGAGCAGTCCATTCTGCAGAGAGGGGAAACTGAGGCACGTGGGATCAGCTGGCTGGGCTGGGTCTGCTGCTGCCCCTTATCTTCTCTAATCGCCAGGTTGAGGGACGGGAGGTGGCGTTTCCTCAGCTGCTTATGCAATATAACCAAATCATTTAATCCCTGCTGAGCCAAAATCAGCCTTCCTGTCCAGGCCCCTTACTGAGGAGAACACAGATATATTAAAGTGCATATTAAATTCCTTGAACAGCCATTAAAAACTGCCGTACGTGTGTAATGCTACTAAGCTAATGTTTCCATAGAGACTTGGACTTCTTAATTACCCAATTTGGGCTGTGTTTACTTTCTCCTGACTTTTTTTTTGTTTTCTCTTTTATTTAAATCAGACCGAGGCCAACATGATTGGTTCTGTGATTTAAGAGAAAACTGTAGCTGGATGTGGCATCTTCACTGTGGCCTTTTCCCTTCCACATTCACAGCGAAAGGCTGCAGGAGTTGTGCCATGTTGATGTTACCTCCACCAAAACTCAAGAGAAAGGGATGGGAAAGGAGGCTGGGAAAGCGGGAAAGTCAACAAGCTGAATTTCTATCCTGGTACCAGGACAGGTATAACAGATGATGCATCGGGTAAATTTGGAAGAAGGTTTTTGATCTCCCCACCGAGGACCTGGCTGTTCAAAGGAGACTGGGCTCTCCTTTCCACGTTTCCCTTGGCAGAAAGGCAGACGATGAAAATATGATTAGAGGAAGAGATTAGCACAGGCTCAGGAAGCCTTTGAGCAAAAGCTCATCCCCGAAGGATACACCAGCGTGCCCTGGTGAAAAGGCAAATAGTGAAGAAGCAGCAGCGTTATTTTCCCCAAATCCCTCTGGGGATACCTGCAGAGGATGAGGAGGCCAGAGGAATTTCACAGGGCCCGTAACGGCCCTTGGATTCTGCTTTTTAACCCAAGAGCTGCTTTTTGAGAGCTCTGGTCTAAGTAGGGCAGGAGACACTGATGTGGGGCCAGCGGGTGCGGAAGGAGAGTGATTACCCAAACGATAAATCAGCAGTGCGGGGCTGATGATATAATAATGGCGATCTGATGTCATCTCAATTCTGCCCATTGATTTTTTTTTTTTCTTCCTTTTTTTTTTTTTTTTTTTTCCCTCTCCATGAACTGGCTTTTCCCATCCATTACCCTGCCCAAGCCCACACCGCTGCTGCTGCTGCTGCGGCGGCTCTTGATATCCAGAGCTATTGACTGAGTCCCAACACCATGCTACGGTGACAAAGAGCAATGCTTGCATGGGTGCAGCACCCTGGGGGTTTCCTCGGAGGGGACACCCTTGCTGAGGCACCAGGATGCTCCTTGTGAGCTGTCAGAGCAACCCAGTTGGTCTTTTAAACCTCACCTGCAGAGAACAGAAGAGTCTTTGCTCACAGCTGGGCTCGGATTTTGTTCAACGCTTGGCCCATGAGCTTCCTTTGGTCCTGTCCATGCTCTTCTTTTCCTTCTGCTGCTGCAGGTGAGAAAGAACCATCTCTCAACCCTGGCAGGCAGCATCTGGGTGCATGTCTAGGGCGAGAGGAGATGGGAAGTGAATCAGCACATCTCCTTGGCGGAGGCATTTAGAATATCCTCAAGCCCTGGTTGGGGGTTTGGGCATCCGTGCTTTAGCGGGAGCTGCTTATTTCATGTTTCTCCTGGCTGTGGCTGCAGGTTTCAGCCCTGCTGTCAACCCTCCCCATTCCTTTGAATGCACGTTCCCCATCCACAGGCAGGTCAACGTCCACACTACGCTGACACCCACAGCTACCGCCCCATGCCATGAGGACAACCCAAGGCCAGGCTTGGCTGGAACCCCACCACCTTCCCCATCACCTTGCAGCATCCTTTCAGGGAGGATTTTCCCCATCCCAGCATCCAGGCTTCAGCAGGAAAAGGACCGGGTAAGCCGGCTCCTCCGGAGCAGACGGGTTTCCATTAGAAATGCAAGGACGAACATTAATCCTCAGGCTCTGCCAAGTCTGGCTTTGCCAAGCACAAGCATGAGCTCAGGGCAAGGAGCAGCTCCCCAGCTTGATCCCCCCACCCACCTCCTCCCCCTCCTCCACCGCTCCACAGTCTTTCTCCCCCCCCCCCCCCCCGCCAACCTCACGGACGGGGAACAGCGCTGACCCCCCACATCAGATCAGGCTTTCCAAGGGGACAAGACCTATCACACAACTGGGGTGATACCAGGCAGAGTTTCAAATTAAAAATCTGGAATGAAAACTATGGGTGTGAAGATGCTTTTTGGCTGGTTTTCAAGCACTGAAACCCCGCGCCAATCCCCGGGGGGGGAGCTCACGAGGTGAGCCCCACCAGGATGTCCCTGCTCTCCTGGACCCCAGCTCCTCCTCCTGCCCCTGTCCCCATCCCCAGGCTTTCCGAGCCTTGAGGAAAGGCTGTGAATACCAAGCTCACCTGGGGAACTGAAAAGTGGTGAGCAAGGAGCAGCTGATGGATCGGCTGAGCTGCTGCCGGCAATTTCATGCAGGGTAAATCCATTTATCACCCCGGCATGAGGAGGGGAGCCACCGGCAGCACGAGCAGCCAGCAGATGAGCACATCTGTCACCGGTAGGCAGGGGGGACTCCAGGGCCTCCCCTGTACCAGAAAACCCTGAGCAATATCCTGATTCCCAGGGAGAGGCACCTTTTTGGGGGACGGAGCTACAGTGAGGGATCATGGCTTGTGGTGCTCATGAACCTCCATCCTCCTCCCTTCCCCGGGACACGACCGAGGGTGATGGTGGGGGTGGAGATGAGATTTCACAAGAGCCGGTAGCACAGTGGGTGAAATCAAGAGCAGTGGAGCAAATCAGTGGGCTGGGGAGGGACAGGGGTGTCACACTGCAAGATGGGATTCCCCAGTAGCTCCAAGGGCTCCTGGGTTGCCCAGAGGCTTCGGGACTGGTGTACCCAAGGGCTGAGCAAGGTCTTTTTGAGACTTTTCTCTCTCTCATGGGCCACCGGCACATTGCTGGTGGTGAGGTGCTGCACAGGACTCTCCACCCCATAGCATCTTGTCGCCCTGGCAGCGGTTTCTCAGCCCCTTTTCTCCCTGGAGTTTACCCAGACCCCACTGAAAAAAAGCAAAAACAAAAACAAAAACCAATACACAGAGCTCTGGGATGCATCCCCTTGCCTCTTCATATGTTGGCATCTGCTTTTCCATCACCCTCCGTTGCTGCAGTGGGTTCCTGTTTCCCTACCTGCCTGGATGGCCCCCAAGGGACAGGTTCAGAGCCATATGGGCACAGGACGAGCATGTCGGAGCCCCCATTCAAGCAACATCTGAGCACATTCCCCTCCAGCTCTCTGTGTGTGCACAGTGCATGCTTGCAACATGCCAGCATGCTTCGCTGCAGGCATGCACGTGGGCCTGCCATCCCCCCCCCCCCCCACCCCCCCTCCCTCCAAGCATGCAAATATGCTTCTGTGCATGTGGGAAGATGCTTGTGCGTGCAAATCCATCTGCAGAGGGTCTTGTGCAGCCCACAGGCCCCCGGCGGGGCATTTTTTGGGGGGGGTTCACGGGTGTTATGGTGCCTGCTCCTTTCAGAGGAAGCTGTGTTTCGCGGAGTGAGCACTTTGTAGCGTGCAATGTTAAGGCTGCAGTGGGAATTGCTCTCTGATATTGAACAGGTAAATAAAGCACGGCTTGGAAAAAGCTTCTAGAAATGAACTGCTTGCAAGACAGCCTTCCCTGGGGGGTCCTTAACCCACAGCCCTCCTCTCCACCCCGAGACCAGGGTGAGGGGCTGCCAGCCCCACAGCATGGAGGCCTGAGCAGCCCTCAATCCTCTTAACCCTTCCCTCATCCCTCTGCATCCTCAGAGAACGTAAAGTGCTCGTGCGAAACTCGGGGCCAGAAAGTGCAAGACCAGAGAGGTCCACCTCAACAGGGTGGTGATGACCCAGAATGGTCTTAGAGACCTGCACAGCCTCAAACCTCCTCGTGTGCCCCCCTCCGTGGGGCTGCCTTGCTTTGGGAGCAGATTCGGAGGGGGAAAATTCAGGATTTTGGAGGCCAGAGGTGTCTGAAGAGCACGCCCAGCACAGCTTTGTGTCCTGAAGCACCAGCTCTCGGAACCCCTTTCTGCAACCAAGGTGCAGGGTAGGGATGAACCCCATTTCCCAGAACATCCCGTAGCGGAAGGGGGACTTTTTCAGGGGCAGCCCTGCTGGGAAATAAACCCCAGCATCCTGCTCTTTTCCCATTAGCCACCCCACTCATGTTTTCCCCCCATACGACCTCTCCCCACGGGGTCTTTACCTTGTGCCCATCCCTGTTTAATGCAAGGCTTCACTAGCAATAGCCAGGAAGAATTTTCGTGACGTGACGGGATTTGCATGGATTTAAATCAAAAGAGACCGGGTGATGTCCCCCCAACCTCACCATGCAAGTGCCACCGCTTGTGCTCCTGTAACCCCAAAAACCCCACAACCAGAGAGGTCCCAGGCACCTGCCCCAATCCTATATTTATGGAGTAGCAACACACTCATCCCCACATGCACCCCTTTCCAATCTGATCCCCGCCTTTCTCCACGATCCTACCTGGTTGTAAAACGGTTACATCTCCACTGAAAGGGATCCGTGGCCGATAGTATATCAGGATTTTCACCTCCCCTTGGGGATCCATTTGTGGCATTATTGCTGTAAGGTAGACGGTTGTTACTACACGCAGGGTGGCCCTTACTTATGGCATTTAGACAGATTAATAGTAGGTTTCCTTCAAAATATTAAATGAAAATATTATTTATAAAAAAGAAAAAAGGCAAGGGAAAGGGAAAGGGAAGGGGAAAAGGAAAGGAAAAAATGAAAACCCTCCAAAGCCTGCATAAACCTCCACCTGAAGAAGGAATTGGGAAATGGAGTTTATTACTAAACAAAAATTTCCAGAAAAAGTGGTGTTTGGATGGTCTTTAAAAGCCTAAATCCCACTGACCCTTTTAAGATATTAATTAGGTGTGTTTGTTCAAAACTAACCAACTCATTTCCTCTGGTTGCTTTTTAAAAAGTGTTTTCATATATCAAAACCTTGGAAGTTGAGGCTTTGCATTTTCATTTTCTCACTGAAAACATGGAGAATTTCAAGAAAAATAAACACGAATGGGCGGAAGCACCGCTTGCAGGTAAGCCAGTAGGTTCTCATGCCCTTATCACTGAACTTACAAACTGCTTTGGTAGTGCAAATGGGGTGCAAAAAAGTGGCTGATCTGATCCACTCTGGTGTTTAAAACCAGAGGGTTTCCCCTGTTTGTGATTGCACCGTGACTTTGCACAGAGGGTGGGAAACACAGGGTATATGTGCATGAATGTGTATATTGGCCCTTGCAGAGCTGAGGGGTTATATAGGTTGGTGAAGAAGCTATAGCTGCCTTGGGGCAAGGCAGTTTTGTGAATTCACTCTGGGTTTTTTCCACCTTAAACCCAAGGGAAGTGATGCACCTGTTTGTCCAGAGGAGAGTGAGAACCTTCTGCTCGTGTGAGCTTGCTGCTCTCCCTGCCAACACTCAGCTGCGAGTGCAACCAGCTCAGCAGAACGGGCACAAACCCCGCAGGGCTGCCGGCGGTGGGTGGGAGGTGGAGGCACACGGGGGTGTGCTGCCTCCGCTTGCTCCAAAAGTCCCGGATGCCCCCCAAGAGAGCCATCCTACGCACATCTTCACGCGTGGGATCCCCGTTGTGTGTTTGCAGATGCCACGTCTGCGTGGACAACCCTCAAAAAGGCTGGCGTTTCCTGAATCCTTGGGACCGGAGCAATTAGGCAACTTCGCCTCAGATGGAAAGCCCAGGTGCCCAGTGGTCCCAGTTTCTCTGCTGGGTACCCCACTGTTGTTTACCAGCTGTTCTCCACCCACCCCAGCTCCTGACCTGGGTCCAGCTGAGCAGCTTCACAGCAAGACCTATCCCAGACCCTCCTGTCCCAAAGAGATGCAGGTTCAATCCGTCTGGGCCCCAGGGGAGCCGAGCTGGTGATGGAAGAAAAACAACACCGTGCCCTAAAACAGCCCTTTTTGAGAGCAAAAAGGCATTTGCTGTCCCTGGGGTGGTGCACATCAAGGTGGAGTTACTGTAAGAGGCTGTAGCCATGGGGAGAATTGGCTCTGGGGTTGGCCTTGGCCTTGGCAATATATTGCTCAGTGGAGTTGGATGAGGACTCCACGAGCACCAGGACTGGTCAATACACCTCGCTTCAATCAATGAGCAAGCAGCAGTAATTACATTTCCAAGATCAAATGGGCACATAAATGTTTCATCTGGGTAAACGTGTCATTGGGTGTGTTGGTTTGTTGGTGCTTTTTTTGTTTTTGATTTTGTTGTTTTTTTTTTCTTTTGTTTCTCCTTTTGCACGCGCTGCGGGCATCTGAGTGGATCCCACTGACCCAAACCAAGCCGTTCCACTAAGGACCAGGAGAGCCTTGCCTTGCTACCTAGGGACCCCCCACCCCCACCCAAGATCCCACTGCTCTTCACATGCTGTGGGGACCACCAACTGCGTGATGGCACCCAACCTCCCTGCAGCCCCGGCTGCAACGCCCAGCAGCGACGTGGGCAACCGGGCAGGCGAAGGGCATGCCTACACCGAGGTATCTGCCTGGATTGCAGCATCACTCCGGCATGCCTGGGCTGGCTCTAACTTCACATGGCCGACTGCCTTCCTACCATCTCCCAGCCTTTCTGACAGCTCTGCCAATGGGACCGTGTCTATTTTTGCACCAGTCCGGGGTAGCTGGGCACTGTCTACATTGATGCATTTGGCTGTGATGCAGACACAATCTCAAAGGACCTGATGCACCTCAGCCACTGATGGTGACATCCACTCCTCCAGCTCCACCGTGCCCCCGTTGGGATGCTCGTGGTGTCCATTCTGCCTTGCAGGCTTCCCTTCTGGCTCCTGGATCCCCTGATCTGTTGGCCAGCAGCACACAGCCATTTGCATCCCCATATTGCTCAGCAGCTGGACACGTCCCCCAGCAGCTCTGCTGGGAAGCATCTTCCCCAGCTACCACTTCTCCCTTCCCCTGCCATCCAAAGCCAGGCTGTTTTGCACAGCAAAGCAAAAGAAACCCGAGCAGCCTCTGAGGACACAACATAACCGCCTGGATCTGTTTCACCCTGCAGATGAACCCCCAAAGCATTTTCTTTCTGGATGCTTCAACCCTTTTCTGAAACCACCGACCCCTAGGCAGTGAAGTGCCAACAGTAAAGAACCGTAGGAGAAGGAGCTGGTTTCTTCCAGCACCAAGCAAGGACCTTTACACAGCTCAGGGAATGGCTGACCCCATCCCTGCTGCTCCCCATATCTTCCTTTTTCTTATCCCTGGCTTCCTCTACTCGTTCGTGGGCTGCTGCAAGATGGAGGCAGCTGGGAGGTGATTCTGGTGGAGTGCAAGGAGCAAAGCTCCTGCAGACCACACATGACTTTTTTAGGGGAAGAATGATAGAGAAGCTGTGAATATCACTTCTGGTGTCCGAGGAGCCCAGGAAATGCTTTTCCATGATTTTTCAGTGTGAAAAAATAAAAATAAGCATAAAAAAAAAAAAAAAAAAAAAAAAAAGTCGTGTTTTGGCTGCATTTGAGTCTAGAGAGGTAGAAAGGAGACTGGAATTTGGGCTCTTTTAAATATTTAGAAAGTCCAGTCTCAGTCTCTGCTGGACTGTCTTTGCCTTTGACAACATCACAGCACCAGAGCTTTAGTGCTCAGCAAAACAAGGGCAAATCTTCCTGTCGAGGAGAGAAGAAACCCTCTGCCTTTTTCTTCCCCATCTGCTCATGCACCAGGCTGGGACTCCGGTGATCCATGTGTGATGCTCCCTGGTGCCTCAGAGTCACTTTTATCTTCCTCCTGAAGGTCACATCTATCTCCACCTTTGCAAAAACACTGGGAGTCCCTGGAGCAGGGTCTGTCCCCTTACAGGGCTGGCCCCAGAAGTCCCCAAAAGTTAGGGGTATGGTAAAGGGTGTCCTGAACCTCTCACTCCCTGACCAAAGTGCTCCTCAACAGGAAGACAAATGACCTGATGGGCAGATGAACCCAAGACACCTGCAG